CTCCATGGTCGGGGGTGTCCACTCTGGCCAGAGAGTGAACAAGAGGGTTCCCCTCCATGGTCAGGGGTGTCCCCCCATGGTCTTGGGGTGGACAGAGACCCCCCCACGGCCACTGTCCCCCCTGAGGTGACTGTCACCACTCCACAGGGACCCCAGCACTGGTTTGGGCAACTGGGCTCCCACCCCATGCCCTGGCCCAGCCCCCTAACCCCATTCCCAGCCCTGGAAAGCTCATTCCCACCCCAATAACTGGGATGGAGCTCTCCCCATCACTCCCACCCCCCCTGGTATAATTATCTTTTCCCTAATAAGTCAGTGGCTCCGACCCTCCTGTCCCCTGGGCCCTGCCCTGCCCCTGGGCACTGTTTTTCTTTCCGAGGAGCTATTTCTGCTATTCCGTGCTGGATCCTGACATTCCCGAGGCTCCGTGCCCAATCCCGACATTCCCGAGGTTCCTTAGCCCAGCTCCAGGGCCCAATCTGCATTTTTGGGGAAAACATCCCCAAATCGCTTCATTTTAACCCTTCTCCCCAGAAAAAAAAAAAAAAACAAAAAAAAAAAAGCACTTTGTTCTCATCACCTGCTGTGGTTACTCTCAGCTTTCCAGGGCTGAGGAATTCATGGGAATTTCATTGGAAAAACCCCAGATGGAGAGCTGGGAGTGATGGAGCTGATCTCAAAGCACCAGATAAAGGGAAAATGGGGAAATTTCCCCCCACTTGGGGCCACCCAAGCCCTAGGGTGACTTTAGTGGGGGGTCCACTCATCCCCCCAGAGAAGACAGGTCCCCCCGAGGGGTCCCCCCAAAAAAAAAACCTCATCCCACCCTCCTCCTCCTCATGGTTTATTCTTTACACATGCTAAAACCCCCTAGGGGGGCAGTGACAGGGACAGGAGGGTGAGGGGACAGTGACAGGAGGATGAGAAACACCCTGAGCTGAGGGACCCCCGATTTCCCAGGCTGGGGGGGCTGCAGTGCCACTTGTCCCCCCCCTTGCAGGTGCCACCTCTAGGGTTGGCACAGGTCTCCCCACACATGGGGACACTGCTGTGTGTGTGTGTCCCCCCATCCCCAGCATGGGGAAACAAGGGATCCCCAGGGAATTCGAGGGGGTTCACCCCACTCCCAGGGGCCACCTCCAGTTTGGGGGACACTCAGCTGTGTCCCCACAGTCCCCCCAGTGTCACCCCCTGGGGGGTGTGACAGGGCAGGAAGGATTGAGTTCCCCCCAGTCCTGGTGGGGTCAGGGCTGGATCCTGACCCCGGGAGGGGTTCCCCACTGGGGTAAGGGTCCCGAGATTCCTTTTTCAGGGTCCTGATTCCTTTTTCCTCTTCTGGAATTTGCGGAATTTGCCCTGGATGGCGAGAGCCGCTCGCTCCGTCTCGGGCGCGTTCAGGTCGATGTCGATCTCCTCCTCCTCCTCCTCCTTCTTGGGCTCACTGGGTTTGGCTGGGGAGGGGGAAACAGGACGGGGAGTGCTCTGGGGACAGCCTGGCACCCCCTGGCATCCCCCCCAAGAGCAGGGGGACCCCAATACCTCCCAGGGGCATCTTGCCAACCCCCACGGGGCAGTTTGATACCCCCAAACTCACCCCATGAGCACCTCAAGACTCTCCCACTGCAGAAGGGTAAATCTGGGGGGCACCTCGAAGCTCCCGGGGGGCACCCCATCATCTCCATGCCCCCAACAGCAAGGGAAATCCGGACGGGGCACCCCAATACCTCCCACGGGCATCTTGCCACCCCCGCGGGGGCAGTTTGATACCCCCAAACTC